ACCAGGGATATTATTCTTAAATGGTGTCGGAATATTGTTCACTTGCACATGTTTAGCGACATCTTCCATAGTTTAATTGTTCTGCTAATTTATTTTCTTCTATAGGTATGACGGTAGATATTCTTGCATCAAACCTGACTGTTGCTTTATTTCTCTTAACATATTCATGAAGAGTCGACAAGGGGATTTTATATACTTGAGCTGCAGTATATTAAGTTAGTTCTCCCTTTATAACTTTTTCGATTATAAAGGGAGAACGCTTGAGCCAAATCTTGTGAAGTGTATTTTTTAATTTTCTTTCTTATGTAATTTCGGGACATGATAGATATGTAAAACAAATTTGTTAATAATGGAGATACATAAAAATAAGTTTGAGAACCACTGCTAGTTACTATGTAAAAGCTAAATGGGGTTATAAGGAAAATATAATATATCGGAATAAACCCAGAAGGGTATTTCCGAAAAAAAAAAAATTATAACAATTAGAATGTTATGTTCCTCGTACATAAACGCATAATACGATAATCTATGGTTAAAAGGAAAACTTGTTCATGTAACTTACTAAAATTGCGAAATAAATTTATTGGGGTTATTATGAATAGCTAAAAATAACGCGAAAAACACTTGTCCAAGAAAACTTGCTGTCACACACATAATATTGTCACTAGCGACTTGCTACGACTGAGACGGCGTGGTTATTAAATATGCTGTCTAGCCTAACGTTGCTAGTAGGGAAATATAATTATAATTCGATAGAAATTTAACGATTTCGGAATATACCCGTTTTCGGAATTGCCCCACTGCACCCTATACGTTATGTAGCTTTCTAAAATCGGCCCATGTTTTAATAGGATTCGAAACATTGTCGTTTCCTGACATAAAGTCAAAGTCATGCTTTCCATAACTAGGTCCCTTTAATTCTAAAGGTGCGATATATATATTACATTTTTGTTAACAAAAAGACAAATCTAACTTCAAATATCTCACTTTCGTACACAGATAATAAACATAAAAGAACGTTTTTCGAAAAAGGTTTTTTGGTTATATTTTTTAAACTGCTCAACTGATTTCGATAAAATTTAAGCGGGACCACCCTTCTAAACAACTTATTATATGATAAATAAATAAAATATTATTTTAAAGATTATTTTTTTAATTTCAAATTACAATTTTAGCAAATTACAAAAAGATTTAGCCGATGGTAATTAATAACTACCGCTCGAAAAGCAGGATATTTAGCTTATTTACTAGATGCAAAAAATATTCCAACTGCGAATTGGTCTCGCGCACGTAAGTTTCCGTATCATTATATATCATCTATAAAAACGGCAAAAAAATCATATCTGATGTTCGAGAGTTCCACTGAAATATTTTTTTTTTTGCTTTTATATACCTGGCCTAGACACAGACGGACAGACAGCGGAGTCTTAGTAATAGGGTCCCGTTTTCCCTTTGGGTACAGAACCCTAAAAAAGAACTTTTAAATGGATTTTTAGGTGGAGATTCAACATTTTAACACATAGCCGACTATTGTTGAGAACTAATAGAATAATTATCACATAGAATGTTAATTTATCAACACTTCAGTTTGTCATGGTTAATTATGAAGGTGTATAAAGTTGGGGACACGAAAATGTTAATAATGTAATTTGAATTATTAATGTAATTTAATAATGTAATTTACTAATGTAATTTGAATTATTCTTATCTTTGAATTAGAATTATTAATATAACTATCTAATTCTATCAAAACATGCATTAACATCAAAAAATCTTAAGTAAATTTTATTACAAGCTTTTTTTTATTGTTGTAGTGTATGTTTTAAAAAAACACCGTAAAAATGTCCTTAGAAGTGTTTTTCTTAGTGCAGAAACTGTATTATGATTGCCGTTCAAACATTTTGTTATAATTTTTTACCTTCTGTTCCGTTTCGAGTGCCTCGAGTAAAATAAATTTATTAAAATTGCGACGTTACCGGAAAATCCCGGAATAAAGAGAGCCAAAACAGTACACGGTCGTTTAATAAAAAATCAAAGCGTTATTGAAAACTGGTTCTGTTTTCCGTTAAAATGTTCCGACACGCGCCCGACCAACCAACTGCCAAGGTCAATGACCTTTCGCAAATAATAAGAATGAGCAGTGTATTTCTTAAGGCTGATAATTTTTATTTATTATTTTTAATAAAGAGAAAGCAAAGTTAAAACAGGGACTACAAATTACGATATCAATATTGAATTTAAATGTATTGAAGCACTGATGGCCACCTAGACGATACGAATCTCAGAGGACAGTTTGTCATGAGCTCGGTGGGATATACACACATAGTAGTCTGCGCCCGATGAAGCTTTATAGTCTAAGATCTGAAAGCGCAAACATCTCGTTTTATATTAGATAAATAACTTACATAGACTCGTATACTTGATAACTTGTTTCCAAAAAATAACGTACCTAAATTATACCCCGATTGGTTGTTTCCATTGAGTTAGTTTTTATAACAGACAGTATGGTAACCACAACGTGCGTTAATAAATGTAAGTAAGTAATAAAAATATCATATATAATATGAGTAATAATTAATTACTACTTAATTTTTTTGTTTTCTAAATCCGTCTTGTTCTGCCGAAATAACTTTAATATGGTACAAGGAAGCGTTTTGCTCAGGCCATTTTGAAATAGTAAGGTATCGCTTAATTAGTATAGTATTTAGACGATCTTGAATGTGAACGAATTCTACACGTATGTACTACACAATTCAAATATGTTATAATTTCATGGATTTTATTGAATTGAATTTGTTTTTAAACTTCATATTACGTTGTGTTGATAAGCTCAAAATAATAGTAAAAAAACCTGGTTAAAGAACCAGGCCTAGAAAAAAATCAAACGATTATATATTATATTTATGGTGGTAGGGCCACGCAACACTGTTGCACAAATGGGCAGGTCCGTCCGGGTAAGCACCACGACCTCACAGAAGACCGTCGTAAAGTAGAAGTGTTACACTTCTGCGTTTCGTCTGGTGAGTGCGGTAGCCGGGCCCACTTTATTTAAAGGTGGCAACGCATTTGCAACCCTACGGGTGTTGTAAATGTCCATGGGCGGCGGTTATCATTTAACAACAGGTGAACTGCCTGCTCGTGTGCCACTTTCTCACATAAAAAAATAGGCTCTAGATTCCTATACGGCACGTATTTATTTATTGACAAGTTCTAGCACAAAACATGCATTAACATCAAAAAATCTTTTCGGAGTTTCCATTTTTTGTTATGTACGCAAAGTTGTTCCACGGAATATTCAGATCGTAATCGAATTGTTTTATGAAGTAATTCTCCGGTAGGACTTTTCAATGGAGCCGTGATAGCTGATTGTCCGCGCGCTCGCCTTTAATTCAATATACTCGAGCGACCTGAGTCCGATCCCCGGTGCCGGCACCAATGTAATTGTTAACTTTAAGTGCTGAATTATTACGTGCACCGCGGTGAAGGAAAATATCGTGAGGAAACCTGCATATTTTCGAAATAATAAAAAAAATATTTCAAAGATATGTGAAGTCCGCCAATCGCAGTGGGGCCGCGTGGTGGACTATGCCCTGATACCCTCTGTGTAGAGGAGGCCTTTACCCAGCAGTGGGACATGTATAAGCTGTTACTTTACATTTTACTTTGCAATGATTGACTTACTTTTTACTTTGATGACGGAACACGTACAATTTTTGTAAACATATTTGAAATTCATTTTTTTAATAGTTGCTTCTAGTAGACTACGCACGGGTATATATTAAAACGTCAGTTTATCTGCAATAAAGTCTGGTGATCATAAATATTATGTAATAATTAGAGTACAGCGGTTGCTATAAAATTATGCGTTGCCAGTTCAACTACACAAATATGTCGGTTTTTCAGCATTTTATTCTGATTTCATTTACATTTCTATTGGCTCTATACTTTAAATATAACTACAAAAAAAAAACAATTTGAATGCTAGGTAATACAAAAGTAAACCATTTTGCTTGTTACCATTGGTTGCTTAAAATAACCTCCGTGCAATATTTACAATCGTGTCTGCTCATCTTTGTTATTGGCAGAAATAACATATGAAAGTTGAGATTCTAAACGTTACGACGTGCCATTTTATTTCAGACGAACGTTTGGTCATTTTCCGGTACAATAGACTGAGTTGTTTAAAAAAAAGACATTGCAAAAACATAAGCGAGCTTATTTATTAAAGATTTAGATAATCGTATGTCGACCTTTTTCTTTGACTTGACAAATAAATTCGTCCTTTTATAAAATATCGGTTTTTCATAATAAGAGAATTGACTAAGACGTTACACTTGAGATTTTAAGGTCACGAGTTCAAATTTCAATGGCATCCACCAATGAGTTGTCCGGATTTCTTGCGCGCAGATGTTGAAAATAAGCGAGATATCTTATAACAATAATGTACACGAAGTCGTGATAGCTCATTGTCCGGGCACTCGCTTTTAGTTTAATTTACTCGAGCAACCTGAGTTCGATCCTCGGTGCCAGCACCAATCCAATTGTTAATTTTATGAGCTGACCTATGACGTGCTCATGGGCAAAGAAAAACCTCGTGAGGAAACCTGCATATTTTCGAAATAATAACAAAAAAAAATATTTGGAAGGCGCCGCCAATCCGCAGTAGGGTCGCGTGGTAGTGCAAGCCCTAATAACCTTTGTACAGAGAAGGCATTTGCCCAGCAGTGGGACATGTACAATCTGTTACTTTACTATTTATCTATCTAACCAGGCGCAAATAGTGACTCCGAAGATGTGAAAGGATGTTAAAGTCGGATCGATTTTCTTATGTAACGAAACTTAGTTTCTTTCTTAACTTATCTGATCTCACCATATAAAAATGATAAACATTTTGCATAATACAGCCAGTGACACTGGAATTGTTAGAAAAATTATACGAAACGATACTGCGTAAACATGCTCTTTACTATCTTTTAACGTTTACAATTGTCAGCAGCAAAATGAACCAATCCTTGGAGGAATCACCGTTGCTGGATACGTCGTTGACTCGGGACAAAATGGAGAAGTGGGTGGCCGCGCAAGCCAGAGGGGAGAAGATCGAGATCGACGTTTACGGGAAGCCCACCGAACAGCAATTAAGGGAATTGGAGAACGTGAGGAACCTGAGTAAAGAGCTACAGGATAATTTACATGTAAATGTTATATTATTTGCTTATTTTTCCCATCCAAAATATTCATTCATAATGTTTCTTCTCTTTCAGCTTTAGTTCCTTTAAAGCAAAAGTGAATAGGCATTTACTGCATAAACGATTGTCTATCTGTGTGAAAGTTTATCTCGAATTGGTCATATAGTGCTTATTTAAATGAAAATTATACGGTTTAAAAAAGTTCAATATTCTGTATTGTTCATTTCGACGTCTAGCGGGTTTTAGATACGTATATAAATATGACTACTGAATATATGACATTTAATTCAAATTCTGGAAGCAATTCTTCGTGTTTTTAACTCTTGTGCGCCCTTCTAATTATGCTATTACTCGATATATTACGGTGGTAGGGCCACGCAGCAGCCTCGGGTATTGCACGAATGGGCAGGCTCGTCTGGGTAAGTACTACGACCTCACAGAAGACCAGCGTAAAGTGGAAGTATGACAAATACTTTCGCGTTTCGTCTGGTAAGTGAGGTAGCCGGAGCCCAATTTTCAAAAGGTTTTCAACGCTTCTGTAACCCTCGGGCGTAACAGATGTCCATGGGCAGCGGTATTCACTTAACATAAGGTGAACCGGCTGCTCGTTTGGCAACTTTTCACATAAAAAAAGACATATTTTATATTGGGTTGACTGGTAGAGAATGCCCATAGGCATTAAGTCCGCCCTTTGTAACCCTCTTGAGGTGTTTTCAATAAAGAATAAATAAATAAATAAAAATAAGTATTTTAAAGATTGCACTTGTACCGTTGTAGATATTGAATAGGTATTACGAACTCTTGTGTCCTTATGGAAAACAAGGTACAAGCTCCTTGCCACCCTATTTTTTCGTTGTTGAATGTCAGCCGTAGAGTGGTGGACATGTTGCGTTCCTAGTAAACGAGGGCGCTGTTTTCAACCGACTTCAAAAACGGAGGAGGTTCTCAATTCGACTGTAAGTAAAGTAAAGTATCAGCCTATACATGTCCCGCTGCTTGGCAAAGGCCCCCTCTATACAGAGGGTATCAGGGCATAGTCCACGCGGCCCCACTGCGGGTTGGTGGACTTCACATATCTTCGAAATATTTTTTTTTTGTTATTATTTCGAAAATATGTAGGTTTCCTTACGATGTTTTCCTTCACCACTGAGCACGTGATAATTCAGCACTTAAAATTGACAATTTCATTGGTGCCGGCACCGGGGATTGAACTCAGGTGGCTCGAGTATATTGAATTAAAGGCGAGCGCCCGGACACTGAGCTATCACGGCTCTCGATCAATTCGACTGTATTTGTTTTTAATGTTTGTTACCTCAGAACTTACTACTGAGAGAACCGATTTTGGTGACTCTTTTTTCATTTGAAAGTTGGTGCTTCCCATGTGCTCCCATTGGTATTGGATCTTGGACTCGGGAGATACTCAGGGAACTCCTGAAAGTCAATTACAAAACGAATACAGAGCGAGATATACGAAGTCGTTGATAAAAAAAAATGTTTTCAACTGATCCAATTCCCAAATCGTTCGACACAGGAATTGGAGAACGGTGTTCGTAACGCGGACAGCGAGAACGACGCGATGAACCCCATCGCCCCCATCTTGGACTATTCGGACGACCACGAGTTCGTCTCCGCCAACCAGCTGGACGACTATTACGCTGAAGAGGACAAAGCGGACGCGCGGGAAGAGGAGCGCAGGAAACTGACAAAGGGTAAAGCGGCAATGACGGAAATACAGAGGTTCTATAAGGATCAGTGTGTGTTTCTGACGGGTGGTACCGGATTTTTGGGTAAAGGTGAGTGGTTTTTGCGCTTTGCACCGCTTCGAGAAACATTTGTTTGTGCGTATCGACGGCGATATTATGCTGTTTTACTGAACATAATTGAACCTTCACTGGTTTCGCTACTTTTTTGACGAGCCAATTGGCGTAGTAGATGGTGACACTGTCTCTTGCGAAGTGTGGGTTCAATCCCCACTACTGGAAGATTATTGTGTGATGAACGTAATGTTTTTCTAGTGTCTGGATGTTTATACAGCGTGTCGTTACAATTGCGACAAGAAATGAACACACATATACAGGGCTTATTAACTTTTTAAAATTGTATTAAACAATTACATTTTTAAACATCAATATTTACAGGGTTATTAAATTTTCCAAAACAAACAATTTTGGAACAACCTTGTATTAACTGATGTTTTTGCTTTCAGTTCCGAGACTATTAAAGCTTCATCGGACGCAACGAACAACCTTACGTATAAAACTGTAAAGTTCATTTGTAAAGGTCACAAAGCATATGAATGGGTTGAATGGAGTAAAAAGATAAAACATACTGTTAGAATGAGAGATTTGTAATGCGACGCTGTGGCAACGAATGAAAAAGTCTCATTTTGTTTCTTTTTTATTTAGTTAGTTTGTTTTTTTATTTTTCTTAACGCTTATATTTTTTATGGTTATTGGCAAGTAGCGTTAGACGTGTTTTCATTTAATGTCGCGGTTGTAACTACACGCTGTATATCTATTATATGTATTTATTTACAAAAGAAAATTACTTTTAAGTATGTTTATCAGTCACTTAGCACCCATAGTAAAAGCTCTGCTTAGTTTGGGACTAAACAGATAGCGTTGTGTAAAAAAATTGTCAAAAATATATTTAGCTGATAGCTAGTTGCGCAGATGATTGAAATGAACTCAGAATTTAGCATAATTTTGGTAATTTGTGTGTGTTTTATTAGTGATGGGTATATCAGGTTATGTGAATTTGAAAGTTTTTGGGTATCATCGTGCCTCAAGTTCGGTGATGGTGCATCGTGTTTTCGTTTTCAAAAACAATCACATCACTATCTGCAAATGTTAGCGGAATGCGGCGTGAGATGGTTATTTTTCTCAATGTTAAACGGACTACGGGCTGTTTACATTTACATTGACGACCTTTATACACTAGTATAAAAAGTTGTTATTATAACGTGAATATCAGTATTTTGAAAATACAAGCTGGGCCTTTTTGTATTTAATTTAAAAAAGAAACGACGATAAATTTAAAATCACCACCAGGAAATTAAACAACTTAAAAGTTTCAAGTTCAGTATTATTGAAAAAGATATAAATTAGTTCGTTTTATAAAAACATCCCGACCGTGCGAGTTTTTTGCAACAGTTTAGCGATCATTATCCAAATAACAGTATCCAAATGTCAGTTTTAAAATATGTTCAAATAATTAGTTACGATAAAAAAGGGGAGATATAGCGTTTGGCATAAAGAACAACTTTGAGAAATAATTGTACGAGACATGACTCTGAACAGTCGATGATTAAGTTAATTTAAGTAATAATACAAACAGAGTTCGAGTCACCTAATTCAATCATGTAAGAGTTTCTGATACAGGAATTCTGTCGTAAAACACCTCCCGTTGTTGCAGTAATGTATAGGTTCGTCCACGGTACCACAGAAAACTGGCGAAGTAAAAGTATTTGTTCTTTTACATTTTGTCTTGTGAGTGAGGTAGCCGGGGCCCTCTTTAAAAGATGGCAACGCAACTATAACCTCCGTGTGTTGTGACCCCCATAGGCGGGGCGGCGGCTTTCCCCACATAAAAACACTTTTTTTCAGTGTTTGCAACACTCGGAGGGACGAACGATGAAACTAATTTATTGATTGATTGAAAATTCTTTATTGCAAAAAAAAGTTTGTACAAAGGCGATCTCAATGCTAAATAGCGTTTTCTTCCAGTCAACTTTTGGTGGATGAGATCAAGTAGCGGGTAGTAACGCTAAAGTAGCATTCAATATTTTAAATATCAATCACAAATGGACGTGTTAAGTCACTACCCACTTGCCATAGATGTCATTAATGCTAATAACTAAATAGAACATTATGTTGCAAAATAAACAAAGTAACTAAAAGGTCCCAACAGAACTCCTAAGTTGATGGATTATCTGACAATTTGACAGATTGGGCAGGTGAGTATTTATGTATACATGGCAAAAGATCTGTGAAATTAACCTTGACCCTCGATGGTATAACTCAATTTTTAGTTAACAATGTATCTTCCGCGACAAAGCGACTTGGCGGATAGAGTACCTACGTGATAATTGTAAATTAAGTAGTGCTCTAAATAAAAAAAATAAAGGCGTACACAACGAAACAACAACGTTGTAAGCGTATAATCATCGGCACAAAATTAATTACTAACGATGATGATATAGAATGAAAATGTAATAACTGTCCCATTGTTATGAGGCTTCAGTTGATTACATTTTTTACCTCATGTTACATGTATACGTTGGCGTAATTTAAAAAAAAATACTCAGCTGCGTAAAACCATTAGATACTCTAATGTTTTGCGCAATGTGACTATGAATGTGAATAAGGGAACATTAACACAACAATATTTTCGTCAACAACCCGACGCCCGAACCAATGGGCTAACCAGGCTAACAGGGTCTCCTCAGTCTACTGAAGACTGAAAACAAAATCATTTGTTAAAGTGAATCTGAAAGTAGCAATACACAAAAATTTATATACATATAAAAATACTGACATACAAATATGCGTACACACGTGTACCCTTTAATACCCTAATTTGACGATAATGATTACCTTTAAAAAAAAACAATGATCTTTTTACACGATACAACAAAGGAGAGAACATTTTTGCAAATTCTTTATACCATTGCCTCCTTTTCCAAAATCCTAATGATTTGGAACAGTGATATAATTCATATATGTGAAATTTTAATTTAGTTGTACGAAATGTAAATTTATGACTTCCTTTTTGCATGGTGTGAACTTTTTGCTGTGTGTCAATCTTTTTTTCCTCTTGTTTTCCGCCAAGGGTCTTACATGAGTGTCGAATGCTCCGATAAGGTAAGTAGCGTGTTTTCATATTTTTTGCATTACAATTCATAAATTTGAATTTAATTATCGCATGTATGTTTGTGTTTGCCGGAGCTTTGTTCTTAGTTATATTGTCGTGCGTTTTCAGTCCACATGATATAAATTGAATTACAAATATTAAAATGTTGGCAATTGTAGCCTGTATTGTAAGACGCAGGTATGATATTAGGAAAATAATACTTTACAAAAATAAAACTCTATTTAGCTTGTGTGTAAATTAAAGTTAAGAATCTAATGTCATACTCGTACTATAAAGTAGTACCCGGAGGACCGGTTGTTTGATTTGTTTTTTTTTTTTTTGCTAAATCGTGTATTTTGGAAATTACATTTAGATACAAATTATTGAGTAATGAAATATGCATAATATTTTTTCGTCTTACCGACGTAATAATAAGAAAATATGAACTGATGTTTTTCACAAAAGAAAGAACTTTTAAAAAAAGGGAAAAAAATAACATAATAAGAAATCAACAAAAAATTAAAAATAAAGAAAGTAATGATCTGGAATCGAAAAAGAAAGTAAAAAAATAAATGTGTAAATGATCGTGACTAACCACGGCCTCCTGTTTCGTGGCCGCCCGATCACCGACCGAGCTATTATAACATTTTCTTTTGCGGCGAAATATACCGTCGTATTCGAATGATATTTTTCGTTCCCTGAAAACAGGGATAAAAGGATATTTTCTAAAAATGAAACCTAGCTAGATCGCTGGGGCCGCTAAACTTAGTATGTAAAGCGTCTGAGTGCGTTATTTGCGAACATTTTCGTTTTCTTAACGTTGGGAATCTATTAATTGATAATCAAAATTGTTGCGAAACATCTATTTAAGCCTGGTTATCTTTACACATATTATATGTATACACAACTAACAAGTGAAACAGTTCGAATGTTATTATGAAATTGTTATTCTATTCGATCGAACTCGTTCATGAATATGTTTATAAATAGCAACATCATCATGTTATGAATGAGGAAAGTTTTCTTGTGAGAATCCCTCGTTACTCAATAACGTCTAGATGAATTTGATTAAATTTAGAATGAATTTGAATATTATATATATTAGCAAACACGCGAATTAATACGATTTCCTTATAAATTGAAACTGAATCTGTAATGTCCGTCTGCCAAATAGATATAAATTGCAGAATAAACTTTTTCTTCTCTTTTTTGCAATTCTTCCGTCTAGTTAGCAATCTAATAGCAATCATTAAATTTCGACAAGTGTTCCCGATCGTGTATGCAAGTGAAAAATACTTGTGATCGTTAATTTTTTTTATAAGCTACAACTTAAAATATTTATACTGAATGATAATTACACAAATATATGAAAATATTTTTTTTATTTTAGATAATGTCTTTGTTTAGTTAATTCTTCAAAGACAAATTAACCGAATACCAAACCGTAACTGAACATTTTAATTTATTTTCTCGAAATTGAAATTCAATTTATTTCTTATTAAGTGTGGACAATAATCATGAAACCCAATTCACCTTTTATACTCTTAAAGAAGATTATATTTTTTTTACAGATGGCAGGATAAGTCTCAAGGCGAGTCGCATAGCAGAAAAAGTGGTGCTTTAAAGAAATTAAAGCTGTTGCGAGTTCTTCTTTAATATTAACCTATTTATTATTCGAATGGTGGTTGCTTATATAAATTTTTAGCGTATTAAAATTAATTTGATATGTTCTTACTTTATTTAACCCAATTTCCTAATGACGAAGATAAATATTAATTAAATATAAAAAAAGTAAAGATTTGTAACCAGTGTTCAAAATCCCGTGTTCTATAGTGAATGAAAACATTGCTTTGACGAAACCAACATATTTTCGAAATTATAAAAAAAGGAAAAAAAATATTTTGAAGATATGTACAACGCACGGTGGGGTTGAGTTGATGAACTAGTATCGGTTTATTGAATAATATTGTTACGTGTTAGGGGTTCGAAGGATTTGGAGAGAAAGACCTGCTAACTCTTTTGAAGACTATTCAATAGCACTAGGTCCAACACAAAGCACTAGGTCCAAACACTAAGCACTAACGGTGTCCTGTTTTGTAGCCAAGTCGGTTTTCGAGACTATAGTTCCACAGCAGTTCCTCTAACGCCATCTAGTATTGAATAGGGGGTTTTATGTCGTCTTTGTTCTTTAGTGATTTTAATAGTTGACGCTAGATGGCGTTAGTTCCTTTGTGTGTTCATAACAATATGTAATTTTAAATACATTTTATGTTGTTAATGTTGGATTTTAATGATACCAACGCCAAAACACGTGACACTAGCATGTCGGTGATGCGAATGTATGGATTGTTCCCATCCAAATTTGCCCTATCTAATATATAAAATTCTCGTGTCACAGTGTTTGTAATGGAACTCCTCCGAAACGGCTAGACCGATTTTCGTGAAATTTTGTGTGCATATCGGCCAGGGTGGAGAATCGGACAACATCTATTTTTCATCCCCCTAAATGTTAAGGGTGGTCCACCCCAAACATTCTTTTCTACCCTTCAAATAATTTATATGGCAAAACATTTGCCAGGTCAGCTAGTATGCCTATAAAAATTTTCAGTTACCTAGGGCCTCAGTATAATTCGTCGGTACAAATTCCAAATTGTGGAAGTGGTGAGTTTTAGTATAAAAAAGTATACTGCAAATCAGCGTATTAATGGATCTATTAAAGTTATTGAAATTTTAACTCTTAGATAAATCTATTCATAGTAATTTTTAAATTAAAATTACGCATATATTGCTTGTGATAAAATTATAGCATATTGATGAATTTACTATGGTACGGTATTGAAAGAGTTTAAGAAATTATACAGTACAAAAGTTGCTCATGTGGTAGATTGGTAAGTAGTATGTTGTACTACAAACTTCATTACTCGTTTATTTATTGCAAATTAGCTAAACTAAAAATTATTAATATTCATTATTAATCAATGTGGCTTTCAATAGCTTGAGTTTCTTGAGCCAAGGTAAAGATTCAATTTGCCACTTAGACTAGTTGATCATGTAGCTTTTTGCGATTTAAATTATTTTCTGAACCATGGTAATCGATACCAAACATCCTAAAAGCTGATACAATTATGCATCGAAATCCTTACTCATATTATAAAGCCGAAAGTTTTTATGTATGGATGGATGTTTGTTACTCTTTCACGCAAATTCTACTCAATGGATTTTAATGTAACTTTACAATAATATAGCTTATACATCAGAATGAGACATAGGCTATAATTTATATACATATTTTATGTATATCTGTCTTTCTGTCTGAATGTTACGCCTTCAGCCTATTTTTCGCAGACGTAGTCGCGGGCAGCAGCTAGTAGCAAATAATATTCGCTGAGCATTATGCGAAATCTGACCTTAGTTACATATACAAAAACGATATAAATTTAATTTAAACGTTTCCGCAAAGATAACATTTAATATATCATTTAAAAAAAAAACTATAGGTAAACAACATGAGGCGCATTTCTGGTCGTTTGTTCACGGCGTGAAATCAAGCCAGAATTATTTAAAAATTCCTCTTACATATTAAACAGAAAGCGGCTTGTTATATAATTACTTTGTCTTTTTTTATTAATTACTTTTCAACAAGTTCACGTACGTAATGCATGATTAGGTAGACAGAGACGTGTACATTATATGGTTAAGAAAAGGGAATAACCTTTTCTTAACCATATAATGTACACTTCATTAGAAAAGGGAATAACCTTTTCTAATGAAGATCCATAATAAACGATCAGCGTGATGCGTGATACAAAAAAATAAATAATTATCTATGATTATAATTATAAGTTGTAATATACTTGCGGTACACATTTAATAATCAGATGATAAAAGTCTCTAGTAGCCAGACCGGCGGGATAGCAGCTGATATTTATATAATTAAAAATTGTAAGTTGAATATTAGGTATGATGCATAAATTTAAATTTTTCTACACTTTTTTGTTAGTACCTTACTCTTTTTCCTAACAAACGATGTAAGTATATGGGCCATTTCTCGTAGAGGCCATAGTCGATTATTATTACTAGTTAGGCCATTTCATTTCTAAACTGATCTTCTTCTTCTTTACGTGTCGATGACAAATCATATCTTCCCAGCCCAGAACTTAGCCACTTCGACAGCACAATTTGTGGCATCCATCAGATCCTGCTGCGAACAGGTGAAAGGGCAGGCAGGACAAGACATCAGATGGGCCATGGACTGCACTGCTCCACACATACAGTCCAGGTCTGAGTTTTCTGAGAGTCCTCACCTGAACATATTTTCCTTGCTTCGGCCAACCTGAGTCCGAAGTCTATTTAAAGACTTCCAGGTTGGCCAAGGTAGTCTATGACCAGCCGGAAGACTCTCAGAAAGCGGGACAAAGGGATCTGGAAGCAGAGTTTGAGCACGCCACATGCTGCATCTCTCTTGAGAGGGCTCGGTTTTGAGGGGGTCGACATATTTAAAAAAAATTTTCGACTTTTCAGCCTTTGCGGTGGGAGCTCATGCCCATGTAGGGGGTGCCGCTTATCTTCGTCCGCCTTAGCCCTCTCTAGTGAGCTTGCTACGGCTGTGCGTACAACTGGCGGCGCTATGCCAGCCAGTGGATACAACAACTTCACCGGGGTTGGCTTCAAGCATCCAGTTATTATACGGCAGGTTTCATTTAAGGCTGTATCCACGAGCTTAGCATGAGCCGAGCGGTCCCATACGGGGCACGCGAATTCTCCGGCAGAAAATGCTAGCGCTAGGCCTGAAGTCCGCATCACTTGTGGCGTAGCTCCCCACTCAGTACGTACTAGACGCTGTAGCAGGTTGTTGCGACAGTGCACCTTTCGTTTAAGGCCCTCACAATTCTTTTTGAAAGTGAGGGATCTGTCCAGCAGGACGCCGAGGTATTTAGGGGAGTCGTTATGCGCAATGGGCACTCCGCGCCAGGAGATCCCGAGCCTACGTCCCGCTTGTGCGTTGCGTAGATGGAACACGCTCGACTCAGTCTTGGTTGGGTTAGGCTCACTCAAGAGTTCTCGTCGTAGTATTGGCCTAAACTGTTGAGAGCTGCGGTGAGATTGTTCTCAACTTCGTCAAAACTGGTCGACTGGGACGTAAGTTCAAGATCATCCGCGTAAAGGAAGCGGGAGGTTTTTGGACTCGATAGTTGGTCGTTGGTGTATATGTTGAACAACATTGGGGCCAGTATGCTGCCCTGGGGAGGCCATTTTTTTGTACCCTCCAACGGCTAACATCCTTGAGAAGGTGAACCTGGAAACGACGATTATGGAGGAGCTCTCGGAGGATATTGACAAAATTAATGTCTGCGGTCATAGTCTCCACCTTCCACAATAGTCGCCTCAGATTAACTGTGTCGTAGGCTGCCGAGAGGTCCACAAACACAGCGCCTGTCACTCTTCCCCTCTCAAAGCCATCCTCAATGTGTTGCGTGAGCTTAAGTACCTGGTTGCAACATGACTTGATGGGTCTGAAACCTGCCTGCTCTGGAATTAATCTTAGGTCTATAAGGCTTGTGAGGCGAGTTAGTAGAAGCCATTCAAAAAGTTTGTATGTATGGCACAGTAATGCAATAGGCCTAAAGTTTTTGGGGTCATCTAATGGTTTCCTCCAGAAGCGAGGTATCTGGGAGGTTTCAAGACAACAGTTGAACATTTGAAGCAACCAGGACACTGCGACCGGCCCAAGGTGTTTAATTTGCTCAACGGCGATGTTATCAACTCCCGAGGCTTTGCCGTTTTTGAGAACTTTTATACCCGCAATGATGTCAGACAGATGGAAGGGCTTACTAATGTGGTCAGAGGCGTGTTCAGGTGCTCAGTTTTGGGATCCCCGGGAGGCGGCTGGGTGGTTTGCCATTCAGTAGGAGCTGATGGGCCACTTGATTGGCCGTAACAGTGCTGGGCGTTATAGTACGAGGTGGATCATTGGTTAGCTTGCGGATGGTATTCCAAGCTTTTTTACTGTTGTGTGTCAAGTCAATGCTGTCAACAGTGTTGATCCACCTTTCCCGCTGGTTTTCACGATCTTAGATAAAAGCTCCTCCCCGGCCAATGATGTTTCCTTCGAAAAAGGGTCTTTGTTGTACATTGCCTCGTACGCTTTGAGCAGTTCGACAGAGTCGCTTGACAACCCTGGGATATAAGATGTACGACAACCCCGTGGGATATTCTTGCCTGAGGTTTTAGACACAAGGTCAACAAATTCATCATATCTCTTAGGGGTTGGGGGAACATTCAGAAGGGCGTCGTCGATTTCCTTCGCAAACTGCTCCCATTTAGCCTTCGCGTAGTTAAATCGGCGTTTGTGCGGAACTTGTAAGGGCTGAACAACTGGTATTATATCGCACATGATGGGCCTGTGCTGGGTGCGAGGAACCGGTGCGCACGCGGTCTTAATGCACTGAGGGCTTATGTTAGAACTAACAAAAACCAGGTCTGGGTTATATCCTTTCTTCCATCGGCCACTGTTGAAGGACGCCGGTTGTTTAGGATCGTAAACCAGAACCAGGTCGTTCGTTTCAGCCCATGTCTCAAGTGCCTGACCGCTCTCATCCAGGTCTTTGTAGTCCCAAAGTGGGTTATGGCTGTTGAAGTCGCCGATTATAATTCCATTGTGCTGGTCATTTATTAAGCTCTCAAGATGATCGAGTTTAAAAGGTGTACCGGGTAGTTTGTATACGGATGTTACGGAGCAGTGATCGAGGTATAAGGTGATGACCTCAATGCCGTTCTCGGTCGAACACTTTGTCGATTTAACTCTCACTCCGGGAGTAACAAATACTGCGTTACCGTATTTCGGGTGGTAAGTCTCGGAGATGAGGGTGAGTTCAGCTACGTGTGGTCGGCTTTGCGTTTCATCTCGGTGGGTTTCTTGTACACAGAGGACATCGCAGTGCGTTGTACGACATAATTCTGACAGCAGTTCTGACTTGTCCTCGGAGAATCCTTCGATGTTAATCGAGATTACGCGCAGAGCCGGCTTGAGCGCTGAACTGTCAAGTGGATGATTCGGATTTGTCATCGTGGTGAAAGGATTGGCCAGTCAGCGTGGGAACTCGCTGACTGTTAACCAGGGTGCGCCGGACGTACGGGTTCAATATGTACATCACTCGTGGAGGCTCCTTTCGTGCACTTTCTAAACTGATGAAAATGAGACAGTATTTATTTATTTATTTGGCGCGGTTACAAAATACAAATTAACATGACTAAATTATTACAGACCAATACATATTACTAAACTTGCATTTCAATAACAACCGAGCGCAATATTCAATTTGAATATGTTATTTTAATAATATTTGTAATAAATAATACTTAGTAATTTACTTATAAGAAAGAAGCAGACCAATATTTTCGGAAGACTTAACAGTTTTTAAAAATTATGACCAGTTTTGATGAATTATATGTCTCCACATAAAATATTATACTGTGTACACATTCGAATTAAGGGCCTTTGTGAGATACATTATTAGCGGTATATGGAAACAATGCTGTCTACGATTAGATTTGTCCACGTGATATCTTTACTTTCTGGAGTAAGATACCACGAGTATTTATTTTTTCGTCGAACGTGCTAAACCGAAAAGCAGTGTATAATGTGACCTTAAACCCGCCGTTAAATTTTTATGTTTATTTATAATTTATGCAATAAGTTTTATTCAAACATTAGTTTTCGCATGCCAAATCTGGCAAACATGTGAGCTTTTGTAACTTTAGACACCACTATATTATATGTACCATGTTTTATGTGAATAAATTATTATTAGTATAATTATCATGGTCCTTAATTTCAGAATAAAATTAGATTATACTATAAACCTGTATTTACAGATACAGTTCCTGGAGGATCGGGCTTTGTCCGGTTTTTTTTTGGTAAATCGTGTATTTTGGAAATAAAAAATGATCTGGTATAGAAAAAAAGTAAAAAAAAAATAAATGTGAAAATGATCGTGACACGAACCGGGGCCTTCTGTTTCGGTCCCGCCCGAGCTATTATAACATTTTTTTTTTCTGGCGAAACTTACTGTCATATTCGAATAGTATTTTTTATTCCCTGAAAATAGGGATAAAAGGACATTTTCTGAAAATGAAAGAGATCTAGATTTTTCGCCCCCGAATCACATACTAAATTTCATGAAAATCGCTGGAGCTATTTCCGAGATTCCGTTTAAAGGTATTAGATATTCTTAAAAAATTTAAGATTCTTCGTAGGCACTAAAAATTACATGTGATTTTGGTGAGGGGTGGGGGTAGTCTAAACCTCACCACGTATCACCAAGGGGGAAGACGGGGCTAAAAATGCAATAACAAAAGAAACCTCACTTGATTAATGGACGGCCCCTTAATAGATGTAAGCCTAAATCAAAAAAAGGGAAGCACTGTTCCTGTTTTATGTGTTAATTATATTCGTGCCGCTTGTACAGCGTTGGTGCATTGTTGGGACTCGTATTCAAAAATTGCACCAACATAAAAAGCCTTCTTTTTGTGTTAGTGTAGTTTGCTGTTGTCCGACGGCTGTTATCTGTGATAGCTTCGTCTGGTGCGCTGTTTAAAAAAAAAATTAAACACTGCCCTTACTTTACGATAACATTATCCTGTGTTGTAAATACGTTTTACAAATATAAATATCACGTGGACAGACACCGAGATGCGGAAAAACTATCTGTGGGTCACACAGATAGTTGTCCCGTGTGGGAATCGAACCCACGACCCCCGACGCCGAAGCCGATACCTTGGCAACTGCGCCGCGGTGTCATCAAATGTGAAAAACCCGCGAAGCATCGGCGTTCATTGTGTTGAACCGTGACACGATGACATTTCGTACCCGAGACGTTGTTAACGAAAGTTGGATATTGAACTAACAAGAGCACATGATCCAACGGCCCTTCAGATGGAGGTTCGAACCCCGTGTTGGCCGCAATCAATATAATAATAAGACCGTGATTACGGTTAAATTTTCAATCACGATTCTGATACTTAAGTCCGACGAAAGTTAATTCTTAAACTTTAAATTAAAATTAGAGAAAATAATATTATATTAAGTATGTATATTAATTTTGGAAATAAAGTTTCGTAGTAAATTACGCGACGAACGAATGAACGTATGTAGACTTGTTATTAAATGACAAAAAACCGGCCAAGTGCGAGTCGGAGTCGCGCACGAAGGGTTCGTTACTATTATCTATAAAACGACAAAAAAAAATCAAATCCGTTGTATGGGAACGCCACATAAATATTTTTTATTCTCCTTTTTATTATTCGCATTTAAAGCGGTCACAGAAATACATAATCCGTGAAACTTTCAACTGGCTAACTATTACGGTTTATGAGATACAGCCTAGTAACAGACGGACATACAGACAGACAGCGGAGTCTTAATAACAGGGTTCTAATTAACACTTTGGGTACAGAACCCTAAAAACGACACGATATAAGCGAGAGAAAAGCGACCTGGTATACGAGGGTATTGCGAGTAGGGTTCGAATCGGAGACCTATCATTCGCTGGCGAACGCGCTGAACCGTTTGCGTATGGTAAAGCATGAGACGCGTGCTCGTGCCGGGTGCGGTGTGACGTCAGCGGCCGTTGACCCGCTCTGGTCCCCATCCAACAGGTATAAAATAACGTTTTTTTAATTGTCGTTTACAGAAACAGCTGGTCCAAGATCCGGCTGCAGGATTAGTGCGCTCATCGGTTATTTGCTAAAAACCATTTTTTTATGTATATTTATAATTAGGAGAATAAATATCTACCAAGTTGACTATCACACTTTGGCCGCTAGTATTTTTAATTTATTATTTTTAATTGATTTTTGGAAAAAAAATCGTTCACTTGTATTTTTAAATAAAATATCGTCTACATCGCGGCAATTTATATGAAGATTCTAAAAAATCACGGTTGCCGTTACGCACGTTGCCGCACCTCTTCGCAGCCAGGTGTACACAGGTATGATTCATTCCGCTTCGTGCTCTCGTACGGAACGGACGTCTCTCTAAGACGGAGGGCACATGCCACCCGAATTAGACGCCACTCGCAACCTCGGTTGCAATTTCAATCTTGTGCAAATAGTGCAGTAGTTTAGTGTTAGTGTAGTGTTGTGCTCGTAGGCAGGTTCCTGTTTGTAAGTAGAATCCTACACACACTTCTGGCCTCAGAGGCGGCATTGTTTCATTTATTAACTGTGTGCTTGTTGCAATAGGCGACAGCTAGGTACCCATCCTAGCGCACCTAAAGCGCAGGCAAATTTGTTGTTATTTCTAGGCACACTCCTCCCTGCCGTAAGTGCGGCCTCGTGATCGAGCCCCCGCGAAGATCGGGAGTTGTGGCGCAGTGCCACAACTGCCAACAGTATGGCCACACGGTTAATAATTGTTTCGCTCACCCTAGGTGCGTCAAATGCACCGGTAACCACGGCACACCCGATTGTACGCGGCCAAAAGATTGCGCAGATCCACCGGACTGCGTTAACTGTCATACCACCGGCCACCCGGCTAGCTACAGGGGCTGCGCTAAGGCCCCAAAAACTCCCGCGAGAAAAGCTCCCGCGAAATCTACTTTGCCCAAACCCGCGCCCGTGAAATACGTTCCCGCGCCCGTACCCGTCGTAAACGCCTGGGCGAACCCCCAGGTGGCCGCGCAGGTAGTTGCGCCCCCGGTCGCCTCACGACCAATCGCTCCCGCCTATCAAACGGCGCGGACGCCGCAGGTGCAGTCGACACCGTCGGTTTTCGCCGAAAACAAGGACGACCCGTTCGCCCAAATTGCCAACATCTGCGCCTTATTAGACCGCATTAATAGACAAGAACTCGCCGTATTGTCCGCTAAAATAGCGGCCGCCACATCTGGCAACGCGCGATTTAAAGCCATTAGCGAACATAAAATGCTTGTAGAAGCCCTCTGGCCATTTACAAGCCAACCATAAACTTAATAGTCCGCGCAATAAAACCGCGCTCAACCGCGTCGTTATTTAGAACTCATAAAAAACTTTAATGGGAAGTACAACCGCAGGTAGAACAAAACCTCGGGCTCTGGTTGTTTCGTATTTCAACGCAAACGGCATAAAGGGTCAAAGGGACAAAATCGCGGAATTCCTTCGCGATTACAACATAGATATTTTTCTAGTGCAAGAGACATTCTTAAAACCTAGTGTACGCGATCCCAGAATCGCAAACTACAACATAGTCCGCCACGACCGGTTAGCAAACCGTCTGGGAGGCACCTTAATTTATTACAAACGGTCCTTGCACTGTAGCTCGCTCGACATTCCAGAGCTAAGCCATATAGAGCCATCCGCGTGTAGGTTAGCGCTCACCGGCCATAGGCCGCTTGTACTAGTCTCAGCCTACCTCTCGGGGAACAAAACCTTATTACAAAGCGACCTAGATACGCTACTTAACTTAGGCCCTTCCGTGATAATTGCAGGAGATCTAAACTGCAAACACGGCTCATGGGACATCCACAGCATCCCAAATAACAACGGAAAGCATCTCTTTAGCTTATCCGATAATTTAAACTTTAGCATAATTGCTCCTGCGACTGCCACTAGGTATCCTACGGTGGACAACTACCAACACGCGACACCGAGTATCCTAGATATCATGTTACTCAAGGAGGTCTCGCTCGACATCGAGTCGATAGAGACAATCCATGAACTAGACTCAGATCACAGGCCCGTCCTGTGTAAACTGGGCCAGAACGCCGGCGCGGTCCCTCCGACCAAATCCGTAGTGGACTGGCATCGTCTTGAGGTCAAACTCAAGGCCTTGGACCCCCAGGACTTAGTCGACCTACCCGAGACGATAGCTACGTTCGATGACGCAAATCGAGCGATAGCAAGTTTCCAAAAAACCATCACTTCCACAGTCGACTCGGAACGGACGGTTAAACTGTCGGGCGATCGACGGTTTAACTTTCCGCCCGAACTGCGACTCCTAATTAGGCAGAAAAATGCAGCCAAACTCGCTTTCGACCGATACCGACCGGAATCGATCGGAATCGAACCGAACCCTACTTCGACGCCTTCAGCTAGAAGTCAAAGATCGTGTATCGGAACACCGACATACAACGTGGGACACTCTCCTAGAGGACATCGAGCCATCGCACACCGCCTACTGGCGGTTGGTCCGCAGTCTGAAAGCAGACCCCCGCGAATCTCTACCGCCGTTAGTTAGACCTAATAGCGCTTCAGTAGCCCTAGATGACTCCGAAAAAGCCGAATGCCTTGCGGACAACCTAGAGCAGCAATGTACGCCATCGCGCGAACACATCGATACAGCCCACCTAACGGAGGTGGACCGCGTAATCGAGATTAGGGCTGCGCTTCCACCGGAAGGCGATCCTTTGAATTCAGTGACCCCCGAAGAGGTTCAAGATATTATTAAAAACTTAAAACCCAAATCCGCCCCGGGCCGCTTATCTGTTTACTGGTGACCATTTACAATACTTTACTCTCCAGTTGCTCCTTTCCAGATGACTGGAAAGAAGCCAGGGTTATCGGCATTCGCAAGCCTAATAAGCCAGCCAACCAGCCCTCTAGTTATCGTCCCATCAGCCTCCTCAGTTGCCTGGGGAAGCTCTACGAGCGGCTTTTATTAAACAGGCTCAATGAGCACGTGTTTTCCAACGGCCTTCTGCCGGCGGAACAATTTGGCTTTCGAGCTAGACATTCCTGTCCCGATCAACTATTTCGCCTAACGGAACATATCCTAAAAGGCCTAAATCACCCTAAACATATTAGTACAGGGGCTCTTTTCTTCGATGTCGCAAAAGCATTCGACAAGGTCTGGCACAACGGATTGCTTTACAAGCTGTACACACTCAAAGTGCCAGATAGGCTCGTACACACCATCCAGGCCTTCCTGTCGAACCGCTCTTTTCGATATCGAGTTGAAAGCACCCTCTCCACAAGCCGCCGCCTGACGGCCGGCGTACCACAAGGCTCCTGCCTCTCACCTTTGCTCTTTACGCTCTACACGAGCGATATACCTAAAGACCCCCACGTCAATCTCGCGCTTTTCGCGGATGACACGGCGCTCTTTTATTCAGACCGCAACCTTAGACAACTAACCGCTCGACTCCAAAGCGCTGCCGGCCGCCTCGGCGATTGGTTCCGCAAATGGAGAATAGAAATAAATCCCGAAAAGAGTGTGGCGATTCACTTCACACGAAGTACTTACCCGTCACATCTTTATAATGGCCCTCGTCAATGCAGAAAGTTGGAGCAAATATCCCTTTATGGCCAACCGCTCCCCTGAGAGAAAAAGGTCAAATACTTAGGAGTCACTTTCGACTCGCGTATGTCATTTACTACGCACATTAATAACGTTCGCAATAGAGCCGCGTTCGTCTCCGGCCGGCTACACAATTTAACTAACGCTAAAAGTAAAATGCCCTTAAGGCACAAATGACCTTCGCCCACACGCACCCTACTCGCTTGTACAAGTTGCAAATAGTACAAAATAAGTTCATCCGCCGCGCAACCGGTGCGCAGTGGTATCAACGCAACGTCGACCTGCACAGCGATTGCAGACTCCTGACGATTCGCGAATATTTTAAAGACCTGACCAAACGGTTCTTCGATAGAGCCGAACATCATCCCAACCCTCTGGTGGTAAGCGCAGCAAATTACCAACCCGACCAAAACGCGAACGTCAAGCGTCGCCCGCGAAACGTCCTAATCGACCCGGTCGAGGAAGGGGACTTAGACACGCCGGACCCACTGCCGGGGGTCCCGCCGGACAACACTACACCCACAGTTAGTGCAACAACAAACACACTAGTTCGCCCTCGCCTCCGAGCACGGCGAGACCAACACAACGCGTACACAAGGTACACCCGCGTTCCTGGGCGGTTCTCACCGCCCCCAGCCACCGATTAGCTAATTGCACAGTCGCCGGCCATCGGGGTTTCGGTCCGAACCACGACCTCGATGGCCCTTAGATGACGTACCATAGTTAAACGCACGCATGAGCACATGCGTGGCCCTACCCAGAGCGGAGGGCCCAAACCCGTGGGTTCTGGCTAGCCCACCGGTTCTGCGTCAGATGAAGCTTTAATAGTCTCGGGACTGAAAGCAAAAACATCAGTTAATACAAGATACAAGACAGGTATGATTATGACACATTTATACGTTCATAACGTAAATTTATTAACTGTATATCAAATTAAAGCAATTGATCAACTCGTACTAAGCGATATAAAATGGTGAAGGCTTTTATTTAAAATTTTATTAATTCACTAGCTTTCGCCCGTGGCTCCGCTCGCGTTGAAGCTTTTAAATAAATATATTTTTTTTAAATACATTTTATTAAAAAAAAGAATCCTACGTAATTTTTAATACCTCGTAATTAGTTAATTAGAGTAGTTTCGGCATGAATGCGTTACAAACACCTTACATTCACATTTATATTATTAGTAGGGATATAAAATAATTATATTAAAACCGATTATTTTGAATTTGGAATTCTAAGAAAAATGAAATACATCGCGATCTTCGTCATAGCCGTCAGTCTTAATAACGGCACATTTATAAGTACGGATCAAAGGATTAATATTAAAGAATAGAAAGTGTTACATATTGAACTAAACTAAATACTTTTCCTAACGCCGCCGTGGCTCAGTTTCCGGGTGGCTTCGAGAAACCACAATTGAAATCCTGGAGCTGGCATCAAATAAATTATTAATTGCAATTTTAAGAGTAAATTTATCACGTTGTCATCGGTGAAGGACCTCGTGGACATCATGAAGTAACCTGCATATTTTAATAGAAACAATATAATACATATAAACAATGTAATAATAAAAAAATTGGACACACGCGTATTACATTATACTTGGAATACAAGAAAATAAATAATAATATGGATTTAACGTCTAGCTTAGAGTACTAGAACGATTCGTTGTGAGTCGTGCAATAAAAACATTTTAGAATGTGAATGAATGTGTATGTGAAGTCCACTAATGCGCGTTGGTGTAGGGTGCCCGTAATACCCTCTGTACAGAAGAGGCCTTTTCCCAGCAGTGGGATATTTTTAGTTGTTAGAAAATAATCTATATTCGACGTATATTTTAGTTTTTTTTGTTAATGTTTAATTGTTTATAGCCCGTTACTTTGCTTAAATTTTTCTATTTCAAAATATGTTAAAGTACCGATGAAAAATCATTGTCTAGTATGTTGGATACATTACATAAATGTTTTATATTTGAAGTAGAATTTTTTTTACAAATTTTCTTAAATACTATAATTTCAAACGTTCATACAACTGGTTCCGTGGTGTAGTGGTTATCACATCTGCTTTACACGCAGAAGGTCGCCAGTTCGATCCTGGCCGGAATCATATTTTTTTGTTTTCATTTTCTCTATCTTTTATGTTATTAAGTAATAAGTAAAAACTCTTGTTGTATTCTTATTATTTTCCTGTTCATTTTACATTTTTTAAAAAACAAGTTTTTTCACTACTTAAAATATCTAAAGTCCAATCCCAACATACACAATATTTAATTTAAATTTTACGTTTTGTTTTAAAAATATCCGATGCCATCTGAGATTTTCATTTCAATCATTTCGCAAATTCAACGATTCTTATGACTTGAAATAATTACGTACATTTGTTTCTTTCATAAGTTGTGTTACACTGAAAATACCCAGTCATGAAAACCATCTCTAGACTTGACATAGGTTTTGTATCAAGTGTTTCTTCTAATTTTTACATGAAAAAATATTGTTTATTGAATTATCTCACATTTATATTTTACATTTTACATTATATTGAAGTTGTCACGTCAGACTCGAATTGTATATTAGTGTTTGTACTCGATAGATAGTATACAGATTTTAAATCTGGACTTTAGTTTTGACATATTGAGCAAATATTTTTTCGAATACTTGTATTTTCTTATTGTTAATGTATTTTTTTTTACAGTTTTAATAGAAAAATTGCTTCGATCATGTAAAGAAGTCGATACCATTTATGTATTGATTAGATCGAAAAAGGGTAAGGATGCTACAACTCGTCTACATGAGTTACTGGATGATTTCGTGAGTATATATGGCATATACAGACTTCATTAGCTGTAATAATATTAAATAGAATTTCATTAGTTTCATTTTTCTTTGTACTTTAATAAAGTAAAAAAAAAATATATGGCGCTATTTTAAAATGGAATAGTATAATATATAAATTAAAATAAATAATAACTGTAATTTTTTATACCGGTACAAAGCGGTAGATGTATGACGCGGTCACTGACTTTTAGTTTTAATTATGATCTAATGTTGTCAGTATTGATAATAATAATATTGATAATATTGGCTGCGTCGTTTATAGCCCTAACCTCATCATCTCGGTTTAGAAAAGTGAAACTAGAGATATCTTTTTTTTTAATAAACATATAATTTTCTCAGCTGTTCCACCGAGCACACGAGGAAAATCCCAAAGGCATACATAAAGTAGTTCCGATATTTGGTGACATGGAATCACCGGGACTTGGATTATGCGATGATGACAGAAAGACTCTCATTTCCAAGGTATTTGTCCATAAGTATTTTTGTGCACGGGAGAGGACAAATTCTTGCTTTTAAAATCGTCATTATTACGCTAGCAGATTTGTAGATTAAACCAACTGAATTTGATATGATTCAAGTCATTTGTTGTGCTTAATTACAATGCAAACCCTAAAGTTAAACATTACAATAATTTAATAATCGTAATTTAAATAATTTAGCAGAATAATGTAAATCAAAATTGGCTTTAATTTTTAGATTTAAGATTTATATATATTTAAAAAAGTGCTGTGGATTTTGTTACAACAATAAAATAAAAATAAACTATGTAAAAATATTTTTTTGCCTATGACTCTTACATACTTCTTATTTCCAAATAGGTTTCCATTATAATAAATGCAGCTGCCACTGTCAAGTTTGACGAGAAGCTATCAATAGCTACTGGAATCAACGTCAAAGGGACCAAAGAGGTGATCAAATTAGCGAAAGAGTGTCGCAATTTAAAGGCACTTACACACGTCTCGACGGCTTTCTCTAATACACACGTAAAGCATATAGAGGAGAAGTGAGTTCATAACTATTATTCAGTTTTTTATGTTAATGTGAAGATGAAAACAATTTAAACACCTCATATCGTGATTACGTGGTGGCGCAGTCGCTAAGTCATTAGCTTCGGAGTCTAGCGTCGCGGGTTCGATTCCCGCACGGAACAAGTACTTGTATGACTGTTCCAGACCTTTGTTCCCAAGAAGTGCGGGAATCGGTTTTTTACTGTCTGTCGTCACAGACAGTAAAAAACCGAGCCATACTCATCTAGATAAGAAAAAGACAGGTGAATTAAAGAAGGAGGCTACCCTACAACTTTTGATGTTGCACGAATGGGCAGGTGCGTTCGGGGAAGTAATACCCTCAGAAGACCGACGTGAAGTGGTAGTATTATAATTTCGCGTTCCGTTTGGTAAGTGAGGTAACATGGGACCACTTTTCTTAAGTTTCTCATCGGATCTGCAAGCCATGGAGTGTTATAGATGTCCATGGGCGGCGCTATTCTCTTAACATCAGGTGAACCGCCTACTCGCTTAACAACTTTCAACATAAAAAATAAACTGTAGCTTTGTATAGTTATAGGTCATAAGATGATAAATATTAATGTTTAAGAAATGTTTCATGGGCAAAAGTCAAGCAGGCTGTATCATTATGTAAAGTATTTTGTTATCAAGACTTATGGATGCAGTAAACTTAAAGTTAGCGCCATCTACATTTGAGTGATGACATGTCAATTACAGCATCCCTTGCATATGTTTTTTAAACTAACGGTGTATGCAACGAAATGAATCGTGACAACATAAAACTCACCATTGATGTCAGATTTATAAATTAGGTATTTCATTTTACAGATTCTACGAGCCTGCAATGGCAGTAGAGGCCCTAGAAGCAGTTTCTCAATTAGATGAGGGATTAATAGATGAAATTCTCCCTACGTAAGTTCCTTCATTATATATGATCTTGTTGCTTTATTTTTCCATGTGTAAAAATTCATTTATTAACCCTGAAATTTAAGAATAAATAATAATGCATTATTAATATAAATACGTTTCACAAATTGTCTTACAGTGCAAATATGAACTATGTTCCATAGGATAGATTTAATTTAATTAACTTAGAATATTGTACGAAATATTGATAAAAAATATAGAGTAGTGTTTCATCCCAATTTACCGTTTCTCTATTTTATTCATTGTAAACGTTCCAATATACGTATATTTGTTTCAGGCTTTTGGGCAAATATCCTAACACCTATTGTTTCACAAAAGCCATCGCAGAGGAAGCAGTCAGGAAATACGGCGAGGGAATGCCCATCTGTATTGTCAGACCTTCTATAGGTAAATTCCCGGTATTCTTTCATTACCCAGCATTACATAAATAGATGTTCAAACGTGATTGCAAGAAGATTGAAGCCTAAGCAACCCTACTTTATTTGACAATAGGACATGATATTTCTTTTTAATTTGTGTAAGATAATTCTTAACAAAAAAATCGACTACTACAAACCGACTGGCCCTCGAATTCTCTGGGATGCCATTATTAGATCCGGGTTTCCTTATCATGATACCACTCTTGGGATACCCCTTTTCCAACAAAAAAAGAAACACCAAAATCGGTTCATAAACGACGAAGTTATCCGCGAACACACATAAAAAAAAATTAAAATATATATATGATCGACGGCGAATTGAGACCGAAACTTCCTTCTATTATATTCTTCTATTATATTCTATTATTTCTTCTAGCATATTTTATTGCTTATGTTTTTATGTGAGAAGGTAGCAATTCAGCTAAGTTTCATTCGCCTGATGTAAAGTGGTAACCACCGCCCAAGGACATCTGCAACACTCTTAAGGTTGCAGATGCGTTGCCACCTTGTAATAAAGTGGGCTCCGGATACCTCGTTCACCAGACGAAACGCAGAATATAACACTTCCTTTTCAAGCCGGTCTTTTGTATGATCCTGGTACTTACCCGGATGGACCTGCCCGTTCGCGCAACTTGAAACTGTCCGCGTGGCCCTACCGCAGTTTGTTTCTAAATCAAAATTTAGAATTCGCCTTTTGTGGCCGTTTATTTTTAATTTTAGAATTCGCAATGAACATTACAAAACTAGAAAACACTTAATTTTTGGTACTATCATTTGATGTTTTGACATTACATTCATCGATTATTTTTATCTGTTCGCATGTACAGCTTGTATTTGTCAATTTCGCAGTTGTGTCTACATATGAAGAGCCCGTTCGCGGCTGGACTGACAGCGTGTACGGGCCCACTGGACTCGTTATCGGCATCGGTACCGGTGTATGTAAAGCTAATACGGTTCAAAAAATATATAGTATGCTAACGCACGGTTTAAGCATGCGCTCGCACTCCATACATGCAAAAAAGCATTGCATATCCTGTCATTCAGTGTTTTGGGATAGGTACCCAAAAACACTGAAACCCACGAGTTATCGTTTTTTTATTTAAAGAGGACGAACTTAATATCTGACAGTCTTTTCAAAGGCCACTTAGGATATCATTTAAGTGACCTGTCATGTTATCGTCAATCACTTAGAGAAATTGGTAAGTTTTTTAGTGTCTGAAATCACCGCACGCCACTGTATTAAGACGGAAAATACGGAAAGGCTCGGTGAAACGTAAATGGAAATTTAATACATCAGTCCACTCCGAAGCTGCAGGGCTGCTCCTAGAGGGTGCAGCTATAGTTCCGTTGTTAAGGGCTCTACCAGATACTTGCATGGTTGGGCCGGCTTGTCCTGTGTAGTATTGTGCCTTGATAGAACGCTCCACCAGGCCAAACCTTTAAAGGTTGGCAACTAAACTGCAATTGCACGGGTGACATACATATATCTCCATGGGCGGTGGAGTCACGCAATTTCATTCGCGAATTAATGACGTGAGTCGAGTCACGGTAAATAATTTATCCGCGCAAACACTGTCTAATAAATAACAATGATTTTTTTTCTACAAATTTGTTGTTGTTATTCAATGTTTCATCTTATGTACCGAAATTGGGACTATAAAAATTAAATTTGAACAATGATTTGTTTTTTTAAACCTGATTGAACTTTGCAAATAAATATCAAATTTAAGTAGCAAGAGTCTATAACGATGCAGTTGCCTTTAAAAATATATTTTTTCCTTTTTTCTGATTCACTACCAATGTGACGCTTTAAAATTTAATAATTTTAAACTCTCAATTCCATCACATTCCACAATAACGAACAAACGTTCAATTTGAACTTTTGTCTTTATGAAGCGTTGACTGTTCAGAATTTGGCTTTTCCGAATTATTTGTCTACATTTGTTCATTTATCCAGGTCATCCGTACGATGTATATGGAGGTGGACAAGGTCGCGGACATGGTGCCTGTAGATCTGGCGGTCAACGCCATACTGGCATCCACTTGGCACACGGCGAAACACTTTAAAGAGAAGTAAGTGTAGCATTGTGTTATATAAGTGACAGCTAGTAAAGTAACAGCCTATACATATATTACTTCTGCACAGATCAGACCTCCTCTGTACAGAGGGTATTAGGGCATAGTCCACCACACGGCCCCACTGAGGATTGGCGGACTGTACATATCTTCGAAATATTTTTTTTATTTCGGAAATATGCTTTCCTCACGATATTTTCAATGCAATTAACAATTTCATTGGTGCCGATATCGGAGATAAAGGAGCGCCTGGATACTGAGCCATCAGCCTAGATGCTTAGCCGGATAGGCTAACAAAAATCCGGCCATTGGGCGTAAATTGTTTGAAGTATGGGCTGTGTGCCGTCGAAGCTAAGGCCTAATCGCTTTTTGGGGACGACGAGAATGTAGAAACGCAGCTTAGTTTAGTTAAATTGTACCTTCCTTGGTTTAATTGCAGCGGTAATAAGGTGGATTGAATATACTTTATTGCACACAAGGAAATACAAGGAAGAAAATATCGGAAAGATAGTGTACATACAGGCGACCTTATTGCTAAGGTAGCAATTTCTTCCAGGCAACCTTAGGGTATAGGATTAGATAATAAAGCTGCGGGATAATAGTGCAAAAATAATTACATTAATATATATGTAGAAAATTAAAATAAAAAGGTGGGTTGCCTTATTACCACTGATAATAGCGAATATGTTCGAAGTAATAAACTACAGCCTTTATTCTTATTTCAGCCAAACATCTGACATACCTATATACAATTACGTGTCGGGCGCACAGAATCCCATAACTTGGGGCAGATTCATCGAGCTGAACAGGAAAAACGGTATGGACAAGCCCACAATGAAAGCGGTTTGGTAAGCTTAAAGTTTCATGTTTTGATATTATAATGAATTAATAAAATAAGCCAAGGTTAATTTCAAAATACGTGATTATATTTTTACAAAACAAACTTATATTTAAGTAGATACATATGTGTATAACCTGCTCACGTGCCAACTTTTCTAATCAAAAAAAACCAAACTTTCACACGTGACAGGTTTATTTGGAACTTTATTAGTTCGGTAAATCTGAACTTCGTAGATAATATACATTTTGAGTTTAAGGATCTACGTGTTTGTCTATACAAATTTGTATAGCATTGTAATTATTGATGTTTCAGGTACTACGGACTGAACCCGACAAGCAATTACTATCTGTTTTTGTTGTTAAATTTCTTCCTGCATTACATTCCGGCGTTGCTTATGGACACGTACAGCGCTTTGACGTGTCGGCGGAGGGGGTGAGTTCTTATTAACCGCTGTTATAAGTGTTATTAGCCGTGATAGCTGCGTCCGGGTCCTGAGTTCGATCACCGGTGCCCGGCACCAATGAAATTGTTAATTTGAAGTGCAGAATTATCACGTGCTTAGTGAAGGAAAACATCGTGCATATTCTCGAAATATTATCAAAAAAAATATTACGAAGATATGTGAAGTCCGCCAATCCGCAGTGGGGCCGCGTGGTGGAGTATGCCCTGATACCTTCTGTATAGAGGAGACCTGTGCCCAGCAGTAGGACATGTATAGGCTGTTACTTTATTTTTTACTTTTTTAAGTTGTTCGCACCGCAATGTATCGATCAGTTAATTATTTTACTGCGGAGTTACAACAACCAATGGACCAGATCAAACAAATGCGTCTGTTCTGCCGCGGAACTAACACAATCTTATTATTTTCCGGTACCGGACAAGTATTTCTGAATCCCACAGACCTAAATGTCCTGAATCTAGGTGGTTCTTCCCAAGTAGTGCTACCGTCGTGACTCGCATGTTGTGCTGAAACCACACAGTTGGGACAAGGGCAGGAGAATCGCCATCAGCATCATCATTTCCTATTAATTTCAATTGCTGAAAAACCTTCCTCACAGACCGCTACGAAGCATGTGCCACCTGCAGGAGAATAATGATGATTAATTATATAACTTAGTATACTTAATTATATTACTTTCGTGGCAAAATTCTTAAAAGATGTTAACGATTATGTTAGGACCATAAAAATTGTGCTGCTGTTTTTTAATAAATAGAAATGAAGAAATCGACGCTCTCTTCCAGAACGCTAAAGCTGTACAAGCGCGTGATGAAGATGTCCAACATACTGTTCTACTTCTCGACACAAGACTGGCAGTTTACCGATACCAACGTAAGAGAGATGTGGAGGTCGCTTTCGGGACCAGACAGAGCTGTGTTTCCTTTCAACATCGGCGACATGTCCTGGGAATATATGACGGAGACCTTTTTGATTGGTGGGTGTTTCAAATTTTCAGTTTGAGAAGTTAAACGCAATATATAGTTTCTAAGTTCCCGTCTTTATGTCGTGGCTTTTTGAAAGCCTTTTTAAGGGAGCAGATTACTTACAAGCGGGTAATTATCGTGATACTGATTTATTGTGGCCTCAGTGATTTCACAGACAAAATGCTGAAAAACAAGAACAGATACTTCTGCTTTTCTTCTGTCTTCGTGTCATAAAAGGTAGCGCGGATAGCGTTCTATTCAAAAATCGAAATGTAAACTAAAAATAAGATTTATAATATACGGTTTTTTTTATAGCAGATTGTTGCCGTCATTGTAAAAAACATTCGCACGAACCCTCCTTTCTTTTATCGCTGGACATTGTCGGGCAGACCGGAAATTGTCGAAATTGTCTCAAGAATAAATATTGAAGGCCGCACTAAGTGCCAGTGCTTGTAATGTTTATTTACAATGTACCTTAATCTTATCACAGTTAGTTTATCAATGATTCGTAGTAATATGTTCTTTAGTAAAAAAAAAAGATTTTATTCCTAGCCGAGAACCCTTGCAAAATATACAGTCGCTAAATGAATAAACTTTGAAATTTATTACTTTACGCGAAGACGCATCTACCCATCTCTACCGTGTTTTGTTTAAACCATCAAAAGGAATATCGGTGAAATCAATTGCTAATTTTTACGGTACTTTACTGTTCTACGAAATAACGATGTTCCTTGTTTCCTGTTTTTGAAGTTATAATTATTTTGACACGTTTGGAACAAGACAGACAAAAAGCGACAACATGAAATTGACTGACCAACCGATTATGCGACCAACTTCACGGTATTAAGATGGCAACCAATAGAAACTTTTTGACACTTATCTTATATCTATCATTCTATGTTTTTAAATTAAGCCGTTATAAATTGCATTTAATGACTTTTTCAATATTGGCACAGGGGTTACATTTGTAGTATTTTTTCTTTTATTACGCTAAAGAAGTATAACTTCTTATTATATAATATGTTTTTGACGTTACATCTCTTTTAGCGAGTTAGAGAAAAACTGAAGGGAGAGAAATATTAAGATGCGTGCGCACAGCGATATTAATTTAACATGATGTCAGGCCTGAAAATGAAAATAAGATAGTGCAAATTTTATCTTTGTTACGAAAATAATGTAATTCCCTTTACTTGCGAACGTAAGTACAAACACGTAAGTTTTTATACATTATTTAATATACACACACTATGTTACAGGAATTCGTGTATATCTGGTGAAAGACGATGTATCAACTCTTCCTGAAGCAAGGAAAAAGTGGAATAGGTAAACTTCAGATTCTGTATCTTCATATATTATAAATTAAAAAAAATTAATTAATTAAAAATAAAAATATCGGACACTCATAGCGTTCAATTCAGCAAAACCTTTAAAAATTGAAAAATCTAAAAAATCAAGCTATGTACTCATTTCCGAAAAAAAAAAATATTTCTTTTCCTGCCAGAAACAAAAAAATACGAAAAAGTTTTTAATCATGTCAAAATGTCACTTGTCGGTTATAAAATTGGAGAAGTGTTAAAAAATACTTTTTATTATATATATGTATAGTTTATGTCGCGAATTTCCGAAAGGTTTAGATTGAATTTGTTGATTTCCTTGATTTCTTATTATTTTCTTATTTAAGTACTATTATTGCTGTATAACCATTTTGAAATTGGTAAATAGACTTATTACGGAGGAGGACTTCTTGATGAAGGTTGGTTACAGTCAATGAAATTTATTACAATTTCTCAACAAAAAGTTATAGAAAAAAAACATAATTGACTTAAATATAAAATAATGGTTTTGGCTATGTTTTTTACGGCCGCCTGCTTGACGTCAACCCTCCGTGGGTTCAACATTCAGATCCGGAACAATTATTTGTGGGTCACAAATACTTGTCCCGTGTACCCTTACCCGCTACCCACGACCGCTACCCACGACCGCTACCCACGACCGCTACCCACGACCCCCGACGCCGAAGCCAATAACTTGCAATGTCGACATCGAGTCACATTTTTGTATAATTCTTTTATAATTCATTTGTTTTTTTTTTGCAGATTGTACTACATGCACCAGCTCGTAAAATTGACAACTGGCGTCTTTGCGCTCTTTTTAGGATATTTGTTCTTAAAGTTCTTATCTTGGCTTATTTTAGGTTCATAATTTGGTACTTTATATTTTTGTAGGTACTTGTGTTGAAAATATTTGCAAATTTTTGAAACTAAAAAAATATGTACTTCTCAATACAATTTAAGCTAATATTATAAGAAACATCTATTTTACAGCGTGTTTCTGTGTTTAAGCAATGACCATAAAATGTAAATATTTTATCGACAACATGAGAGATTATAATGAAATTATTACAAATGATTTATTATGTAGGTATCCTTGAATACAAAGGTAAATTTTAGGGATAAATTTATAAATGGAATCGAGACTAATGTATGAGATTATTATAAAATTAATTATAAAAAAAGTACAAAGATACATTTTTGATCCTTTTTAGTACAAAAACTCTGTTTTATATCATATTTGAAACTATTTTGGAGGTTTAACCATTACATCCATTTGACTATATTAATTACGTACAGTAAATGTTGAGTATTAAAATTCGCGGTTATTGTAATAAGACAAGAAATTATTGAAATATTCTTGTATTTCATGAAGGGGTATTTTATTATAATTTTTTTGCTCAAGTCATTTTAAAAGTTACCGTATTTTTTTAAGTTTAGTTAGTATATATCCAAATTGTATAGAAATATGTATATTTGAAAAATATATAAATATAAGCTATAGTAATTTAATAAAGTGTCGTTTTTAAATCTTTTTAATTATTTTTTTTATTTTCACATTTAAATCTTTAAAACCTCTAACTTTTTGAATCTTCCTGGAAATTGAGATTCATACAGGAAAATCTTATCACAACTAAATACCTAAGGAAATACAACTACGATGTTTTAAATGACGTGAAAACAGAAAATTTGCACCATTATGACTTTATTCTTGTTTACATTTAAGTTATGGTAAAAAAATTCAGTGGTAATTTGGTATTAATTACTTACTGACTGAAAATGATTTACATTTATGAAACGACAGACAAAATTTTAAAGCCATGCCATTTTTAAGGTTACGCGTGCGATTTGAGTAAAATAATGTGATATCCTTCACTGTTTGCGATCCGGGAGGAGATATTAAAACCAGTTGAACAGTACAACCACCATTGGACTGACCGCATAAACGAGGGTGCGAGCCGAAAACATGCAGGAGCCACTGTCCCTTTCCTCTACAACCGAGGAGTCGCACGGCAGAAGTGATGGTGTTCGGTTTTAGACCTACCACAAATAGTTATTCCTTAATTCGCTGCGCAGCGTAAAACACTCAAAAATGCTCAAGTACTTCTTTTTAAATTAGCTTAAATTATATTTGTTATTCATAATAATATTATCGAATAATTAATTCATCGTTATTAGACCTATTTGTTAGATACAGTTTTATGTATATAGGTGTTTGAAAACAAATTATCATAGTTTTATCAATTAAAAGCGATATAATAAATATAACAGGTATAAAAACGGATTAAGAATACGGAAAATAAATCTTAAAATCTGATTGGGCCCTGTATGGTTTTGCTGTTCCTTTTCTTATTAAGTATATCTCTGGACAAATCCGTAGAGGAGGGACAAAAGCCATTTTTAATAATTGAGCTGAAGTTGTTGACTTCTAATTGCTCCCAACTAAAGAAATATCTGAAATCTCAACTGGTTGCGTTTTTTCTGATGGAAACCGAGGCTTTTGTCTGTGAATACACTATTAGGTTATTAAGACCATCGAAGATAAATAGCTAGTACCTGGAGGACCGAGCTTTGTTCGGTTTTTTTGGTAGATCATGTGTTTTGGAAATAAAAAAAAAAATAAAGAAAATGATCTAGTATAGAAAAAAAGTAAAAAAATTGTGTAAATGATCGTGATACGAACCGCGGCCGTCTGTTTTGGGGCCGCCCCATTACCGAGCGAGCTATTATAACATTTTTTTTGCGGCGAAATTTACTGTCATATTCGAATGATATTTTTCTTTCCCTGAAAATAGGGATAAAAGGACATTTTCTAAAAATGAAATATATATATATATATATATATATATATATATATATATATATACACACACACAAGAATTGCTCGTTCAAAGGATAAGATAATTAAAGCGTAATTATAGGTACATGCAACAGATGGCAATGTCGTCTTTTAGTTCAAACTGATCGAAAACCTTGTTACAAGTACTTGTCGGAAATTATTGTTCAATCATCGTTTCCCCTGTCAACGTCTTCTATCGTTAAAGTAGTAAAGTTATCAGCAAAATATATAACATTACACAAAAAATCTAAAACTATTTTGAATAGTCAAAAAGCTCAATTTTCAAAACGTTGTCAACGCATCTGGAACCCTCGAGTGTAGATGTCCATGGGCGGTGGTATCCAGTTAACATCGGGTGAACCGCCTACACGCTTGGCAACTTTTAACATAAAAAAGGTAAAGTAGTAAAACTGCCTTCTTATTTTACAAGTTTTACTGCTACGGAAAGGCCTCCTCCGTATAATAGAGGTTATTTATTAAGGCATAGTCCACCACTCAATCCGACTGTGTATCAGCGGACTTCAAATATCTTTGAAATATTTTTTTTAATTATTTCGAAAACAAATGTAGATTTTCTCACGTTACTTTCCTTTACCGCTGAATACGTGATAAATTAGCACTTAAAATTAATTGGTACTGGCACCCGGGATGGAACTCAGGTTGCTCGAGTATACGAAATTAAAAGCGAGCGCCCGGAAAATGAGCTCTCACGGCTCTATATTTAAAGATAATCTTTGTTACTTCTATTGTAATATAAACTACAACTTTTCAATTGAAGCACTTCACTACTGTTGTCGTGTCGTGTTGTCAACTCAACTGTCACTTAGCATTCCGTCAAAATTGTGTTTCGACCTATAGGTTTTAGAATTGTTGTTTATTTTTATAAAACATAGTTTTAAAGTAAATCATGAATTACAAATTTTATGTAAAGTTTTAGCTGTTATAAACCCTTTTCGAATTTTCTGTACATTTAGAAATAAAATCCTAATTATATTTCGTAACCATGGACGGAACCGTAGTTTTAATTTTGCTTGTTTTGGTGATGTTGGTTGGATCCTATGTTGCTGGCAGTATTCCACTTAATGTTAGCATGTCAGAGGTATGTACGTATTCTAATAATATTACCGTGCTTATTACATAATATGTAATAATGTAAAAATTTCCCCCTTGTTACAATTAATGAACAGCTGCTTATATTTATTTACTTGTCCCCCTTTCTTAAAAACAGTTTAGTTAATAATTTTTATATTATTTACCCTAAAAGTTTTAAAACAAGATATAAATACCTAAAAAATTTCTTATTTGGAAAATTTATTCTAATATCTCTACAATTCATTAAACAGGTTGGAAATCTGTTTGAACCCAACCATTTTAGAACTGAATTTAATTATATGAATGGTCTTTTTTTATTCTTCTTAAATTGCAATTAGTATTTATGTTCTACTGTGTATTTAGTTTTGTATAAACTTTGAGTAGGCTATTTCTTAACAGCAGTCAATAATACTATTAATTATGAGAGTACAATGAATGAGACAACTATTTATGTCGCCCACAGATAATTGTTCAGATCTGGGTGTATGTCTATCTGAAATTTATGTATGTAAAATATTCTTACAACACAGAACTAGTACAGGAAGCAATGTTTTTGAAGGGAAGATGACACTAGATGTACTAAGTTGCAGTGGTTGTTGGGACATAATAACACAAATATACAAAGTACAAAAATACTTTACGTATCACACAAAAAGTAAAAGCATGACACTTTTATATCACATCTGTCTTCTATGAAGCCTCTGTATTTCCATTTATGATCTTGCCCATTCATACATAATGCAGCAGAAGTTGTTATGTGCCGTACTACAGTGAAAAAATAACAGCTGATATACTACAGTGGTAATTAAAAATTATACCAGTTTACAAGGTAAATACTTTATTTGTTTAACCAACTTTCAACAGGAAAAGCTGCAAAAAGTGACAGTTTTTGGAGCAGGTTTATTAGTTGGGACTGCTCTTGCTGTTATTATACCTGAGGGTGTGAGAGCTTTGTTCTCAGAGAGGGTCGCTCCCCTTGTGACTAAAGATTATACGCCAGAGCCCGCTAGCCATAGTGATTTGCATTCGGTGATTGGCATTTCTTTAGTCCTAGGTAAGGATTTCAGCTTAATTTACATTCTGAAAAATAGGCAAAACATTTTATTTATAATATTGATTTCCATAAAACTCTCTTTATAGGCTTTGTTTTTATGCTATTGGTGGATCAACTTTCATCAAGATATAATGATGCAACCAACCCAACAGAGAAAAATATAACTGCAACAGTTGGACTAGTTGTCCATGCAGCTGGTATGTATTTTTATTCTGAGTAATATTTTCATTTTAAGATGTTTCAATTAATTACTGCATACTTTTAGTGTATAAAGTTTTGAAATTTATTATCCATAACGCTTTCTTGAGACCATAAAACATAACATTTTTATATTCATGAAACATTTACAGTTTATCACTATGTTGAAAGATTTGAACATAACATTTGTGTAACCAAAATTGACGCAATTTGTCTCGACGATAAGCTCTTACTGATAAGGGCACGTAATTGAAAATTAAAATCTTAGATTGCGTGAGTTTCAACAAAAGTTTTTTTATTTCGTGGGAAGTGGGAACGTGGCAAGCTTCAACTGATCTTAAACGTAAAACAGTACAATATGAGGTTCCTTGGACGTGGCCGCAAATGTTCGATGTGCAACGTTCGCAAATGCTCGTTATAGCACTATATCCTAGTGCAACATGATTCACATATATCCAGTGCGGGATTAACCACATAGCAAGAGTAGCAATTGATACGGGCCCCGCGCCAAAGGGGGCCCCGCATATACATATAAACCCACTCATTTCTGCCTGAGACATCTGCGTGAAACTTATTAAATAAATAAGAGTATGAGAATTGAATTCTTTTTTGCGTTGGCTGTTTGAAAGAATTTGCTACGAGCCCAGCGCTCGCTTAATTCGGCACTGCATATGTCGACCCTACAAAGGTTTGGAGGCGGAGATAGATAAAACTGTTTCGTTGGTAAAAGCTGTTCAGTGACAACCCTGCGTTCGTACTATTCGCAGCGGACGGTATAGCCCTAGGGGCGGCGGCCACCACGTCTCACGCCGACGTAGAACTGATCGTGTTCCTGGCGATCATGCTGCACAAGGCGCCCGCCTCCTTCGGGCTGGTCACATTCCTCATGCACGCCGGATTAGACAGGTACGGATCCGCACGGCGCCAAAAGTGCATTACGCACAAAACGTAGATGCGCATCTGAAATTCAGAGTCACTCTGCAGCATATATTGCCTTCCCATTCTCGCTGCAGCATTAACCGTTTGCTGTCTCACTCCCACTACACGCTGTAGTACAGTTGCAAACAACGTGTACGTTGTTTGCAACGGGAGTGTGAACATTTTTGTGTACATGGGGAGTCATCATTGAGGGCAATTTAGGTTTTGCAATTATCCCGTAAAAATTTTTTGACAGTTCCTCGAAGCAAATAGCGTCACGTTCTTCAATATTCTTGTCGTTCTACTGACCCCGGTGAATTACCAAATATCACATCGATGCAATTATTATTTAGTACCAGAAAGGACTAGTTGAACACCTATTTAATATTAATATTTATTGCTAAAACTAACATATGTGTAGAAACAATTGAAGCGCATTTATTACAAGGTCGAGCGTAGAACTTGTTTTTGATAAATATAAAAGAAGCCACTAAAACATAAAAATGCATGTGTAATTTTTTTCTGTCTGTTGATACATATATATAATATAATGCCAAAAACAGGTTTGGTTTCGTCTAAATTATATAGTTTCTGTTTTTGCTCTTAGGTCACTTCTGTTGCATCACCAGTATTGACATTGCTATGACATTTGTGAATCTCATTTTTTTATTATTTAAAGAGTTTGTATCGCAAGCGATTTGTCTCGCATGGTCTTTCCTGTTATACTAAGTCATGGAGCTACCGTTTGTCTCTCTGTATCGTCTGTTCTTAGATTTGCCAGAAATTTTAACCTGTTGTCCGCGTCGTAAAGACAATTCTGAGACAACAGTGTTAAGCTCAAATCTCAATCCGCGACTCACCTTTACTGAGTTTCCTCACTCGTTTATTTCAATTTATTTTCATAACACTCGTAATAATAGCTCGTATATTTTCAATCACATCGCAAAAAATATATATCGCTGTCTGCCTGTCCCTATGTATTCTTAGATCTATAAAACTACGCAACGGATCTTGATGCGGTTTTTTTTCCTAGATAGAGTGATTCAAGAGGAAGGTTTATATGTATAATACATTGCACCCGTGCGAAGCCTGGGTGAGTCTCTAGTATTATACATAGCCCGATTTAATTCAGTTTCGGTCATAAATGTCACGATAATATATGTTAGGACAAAATTCAGCACAGTAGCAAGACATCCATTTCTTAGCTTTTGCCTTCGACGCTGAAGGTCGTGGGTTCAATTCCCACGTGGTATTAGTATTTGTGTGGCCCACAGATGATTGTTCCGAATCTAGCTAGACTCGTATCAAATTTCACATGTTGATCCGAGATAAGGGTAAGAGGAATAAAAATCTGTTGGTCTGTCAAGGTGTGTCCTCATGGTATCAGTCAGTAATACCAAAGGTGATAGATCTACATTTTAGTATATATGTATAACTTTAAGTAAGTAAACAGTTAAAGTAATAAGTACCTGGAGGACCTTTTTTTTTGGTAAATGACGTATTTTAGAAATAAAAAAGTAAAAAATAAAGAAAATGATGTGGTATAGAAAAAAAAGTAAAAAAAATAAGTGTGTAAATGATTGTGATACGAACCACGGCCGTCTGTTTTGGGGCCGCCCGATTACCGACCGAGCTATTATAACATTTTTTTTGCGGCGAAATTTACTGTCATATTCGATTGATATCTTTCATTCCCTGAAAACAGGGATAAAAGGACATTTTCTAAAAATGAAACCTAGTTAGATCGATTTTTCGCCCCCGAATCTACGCACACACTAAATTTCATGAAAATCGTTCGAGCCGTTTCCGAGATTCCCATTATATATATACAAGAATTGGTTATCACGTGCTCCGCGGTGAAGGAAAACATCGTGAGGAAACCTGCATATTTTCGAAATAATAACAAAAAAAATGTATTTCGAAGATATGTGAAGTCCGCCAATCCGCAGTGGGGCCGCGTGGTGGACTATGCCCTGATACCCTCTCTATAGAGGAGGCCTTTGCCCAGCAGTGGGACATGTATAGGCTGTTACTTTACTTTACTTTTTTTAAAGTTGTATTAAACATTTAAATTCTTTAAACATCAATATTTACAGAGTTATTAAATTTTCCAAAACAAAGAATTTTAGAACACCCTTACCTATAAAAGCGTAACGTAAAGTTCATTTGTAAAGGTCACAAAGCATATGAATGGGTTGAATGAATTTAAAAGAAACAAAACATACTGATAGAAGGAGAGGCTTGTAATACGACGCGTTGGCGCGAGTTGTATAGGATGTTACAAATTTTGTTTCTTTTTTACTTAATTAGTTTGTTTGAAAAATATATTTTTTTAATTATGGATTTTGTTTAACGTTCATATTTTTTATGATTATTGGCAAGTAGCGTTAGACGTGTGTTAATTTATTGTCGCGATGGTAACGACACGCTGTATAAATATTATATATTACTGAAACAGGTTCACTTTTTTTATGATGATGTATTTGTGTTTCCGTTCTAATAACAAATAAGGTTTTTTTTTAAAACAGTGACCTTAGGTATACATACATATATAAATTTCAAGTAGACAAACCCCTAGATTAGAAACAATCACATATGGGTAACAGAAATAGTCGTCCCGTGTGGGAATCGAACACGAGACCCTAGGCGCCGAAGTCAATACCTAGGCAACAATGTCGACCCGATTGACGTTGTGGGTAGTGACCCTGCGACTTGCGTCAGAGGTTATGGGTTCGATCCCCACTACTGGAAAAATATTGTGTAATGAACATAGTGTTTTTCCAGTATCTGGGTGTTTGTATATTTATAACATGTGTTTATTTGCAAAAGAAAAGTATGTTTAAGTATGTTTATCAGTTATCTAGTATCCATAGTAAAAGCGTCGCTTAGTTTGGGACTTGAGAACGTTGTGTAAAATGTGTCCGGAAATTTTTATTTATAGATTTAAAAAAAAAACGCCACTGACAATGTGTAATCAAAATTCTCACTTGCATAAATTGATACAGACGCACTCTCTTATTTGCACTTCGTTCATCTTTTGACAGGAATCGAATCCGCAAACATTTGCTCGTGTTCTCGTGCTCCGCTCCACTGCTCGCGCTGCTCACGTACTTCGGTATCGGAAATGAGAACAAACAGACGCTCAGCGATTTCAACGCCACCGGTGAGCAAAACTGTTACTGTTTTAGCAAAGCCCTGCTAGTCCTTCACTCAAAGATGGAAGAAAAGTTGTCAGGCGAACTGGAGGGTGCACCTGATGTTAAGTGTCCACCGCCGCCCATGGATAGCTGCAACATCTGCCGCAGACGATATGCGTGCTAGTAGATGCGTTTACAAAATTTTGATAACTGGCCTGTAACCTTTTTAAAAAGAGAAAAAGAAAAAAAAAACTCACTCAACAGAGGAAAAGCAAACGTACAATACTTACACATAACGCCGGTCTTTTGTGAGGCCTGAGTATGCCTAGAATGTTGTCCGGCCCTACCACGATTAAGTTTCGTATGTTTATATGAAAGGCGGGCAATTTATAATGATATGGCAATTTATCGAGGGAGCGATGATGATAAACCTGATGTTAAATGAAGAAATAGCTATAGAATTGTAAATCATTAATACAGAAAAGTTCTTAAGAGCATGTAAGAAAGGTACAGAGAAATAAATTAATAGAATTTACGTGACGATCTCCACCAAACCACTCCTTCCGTAAGCATAAGAAATATAATTCCAAAAACAGCTGGTCACTTTAAAAATAGCCCATAATTATTGAATTTAAATATATATATATATATATATATATATATATATATATATATATAATAGTTTAAGTACCGTATAATGATAGTGTATGGTTTTGTAAATCAATAAATAAATAAATTCAAATGCAAATATCTTTATTCAATATAGAAGCATTACACTTATTTATTTATTGTCAAAACGCTACTACCGGTTCGAAAAAGAAAAGCCACTGACCTGAGAAGAACCGGCGAAAGAAACTCAATAATAAATGATATCCTGAAACGACTTTTCAGGGATAGCGATGCTGTTCTCAGCGGGTACTTTCTTATACGTGGCGACCGTCCACGTGCTGCCCGAACTAACGCACACACACGCGCACACGCACACGCTGCTACCAATGCAGGAGGGCGTTGCCCCCAAAAAGGGCTACGGGGGACTCCAACTGTGCGAAGTGGTCATACTGGCGTTCGGCGCCATGCTGCCCGTCGTCCTCACGATGGGCCATGAACATTAACACCTGGCGCGTAAGGTCGAAATTGCATTGTTCCTCCATTGACCCGAAAAGAATAATAATAATAATGGATACAGAAATTGAATTGGACAAAATTAAGATATTTTTTTTGAAGTTATACTTCTTTAGGCTCGTTACGAAAAAATTATGAGAGTGAAATTTTGAGATCCCCGCGCATAACTGTAACACAAAAGTAACACTTTTGAAGCGACGCTAAACCGATTATTTTTTTTATAGATGGCAGGATATTCTCAATAACATTCGCCCGTTACAGTTCTCATAATAAAGAATGTAGATGGCGCTTCCCTAAATTTATTATTTATATCCTTTTCCGGTCTTTTTATTATTTTATTGTAATTAATTTTTTGCATGCAATTAAAAACTATTTTTAACGATGCCAAAGAAGTATAACTTTTCACTAGGGTACATAAGTTCACGCACCCATTTTTAAAAACTTAAAAGAACAAAGTGTAAAATTGATCTCAAACTCTCAATTTGTTGACAGAGAAATTATTATTAAATACGATTTATTGAGATTGCAATATAAATATAATTATGTAGATATGTGAAAAGCAATGCAAAATATATGTTCATAAAACATTTTTAGAGCTCATGGACAATTATCGCAGTATTTCTAAAAAGACTTAAATTTTCGGCTCAGTGTGTAATTTTGGAAACAAAATTGTACAATCCGTTTCAAATAAGAATAGGACTGATATAGCGCGATCTTGTGACGTCATAGCTGTCATGAGAAAACTTAGATATTTTAAAGATATTTATTAATATTTTTTTTAACGAAAGAAAAAGTTTTAATCGGAACGTCGTCTTTAAATATTTCTCTTTGCTGCTATGCTTATTCTACGCTTAATCAAGTGCCAACTGGATTTAAATATATTTATTCTATGAAAAGCAATTGTAGCAACAAAAATTTAGTAAGAGATGTGTGGTACATAGTCCCGTACTGTTGAAACTGCATGTCGGTGATGTCCATATCATTCAATTTGGCAAAAAGAATTTAATGATCATGGACCTATACAGGGCTGATTTTTTTAGACGAAGTGCATTCCATAATTCAAAAATATATAAATATAAATATATTTATTTTGACAAGAAATAAATGAAGAAACTACTTCTGCTTTATATCGGTCTTCTGTTAGGTCGTGATATTAACCCGGACGGACCTTTTTTTTTGACTTGGGGGAAACCCGCCCTTGCGCAGGCAAGAGCGTGTTATGTCGGACTCGCACCGACTAAAACCCGCACGATGTTCCACCTAGGCGCATATCGGCAGGGCCACGGGAACGCTTTCGCACACTTCCGAGATCCTGCCAGTGCTGGGCGCCTCAGTAGCCCTCCCGGGGAGCAACTCCCCTCTCCTCCAGGTAAGGCGCGCTAGATCATTCAGCGCACCTTCCTACTCGGTCCCCCTTTTACGGCCAAAGAACTCCTCTGAGTTCCCTGACCAGAGGCCATGGGAGCCAGGAGAACTAGTTCCAATAAGCGGCAAGCATCCCAGCCCCCAGCGGCAGAGCTGGTCTGTGGCTCCGCCGCTCACCACGTTTCGGCCGCGGAGGGTAGGGAGAACGGCGCACCGCAATTCCGACACTCCTCTCCCCCCGTGGCCCCACCACCACTGCATCAGCGATGCAGCCCCGCCGAGTCGCGGAGGATATGGAGCGCGGCCAACGCAATACAGACATTCTCCTTCCCCCGCAACTCCTCCTCGGTAGCAGAAGACAGGGAGAGTTGCTCCACCTCTACCACCCTCGACCTGTCCTCTGCACCCTCCAGCACGCATCCAGAGTGGCCTCATTGAGCCTTACACCACAGGCCGACCCTGTGTGTGTTCCTCTTAGGTGCACCGTGGATGACCAAGCCACGGTTACTAAACCCCTCCGCCACGTCAAGGCTGACCCGGACTGACCTGCCCATTCGTTAAACAGTGAACAGTTAAAATGGATGACTCGATGGCGCCGTTGCTAAGCTAAGCTATTGGTTTCGGCTTCGAGAGTTGTGGGCTCTATCCGCACACGGGACAAGTATTTGTCTGACCAACAGATAATTGTTCCAGATCTGGGTGCTTGTTTCCCAAGGTTGGTTGACCTCAGGCAGGCGGCTGGTCGTAAAAAACAAGGCCATATCCGCCTACAACATTATACACATGCTGTGCCGACCCCACCTAGGTGGTATAAGGGCAGGAGGATGATGATGTATGTCGGCCTAACCATCCATCCAGAAATGGGCCTGGCTTTACCTTAGTTTTTTTCTTTTTTGTTGTTGTTATTCTGCTGCTGCTAGCTTCTGCATCTCTCCACTCGCTTCGAATAAGAGTCAAACGCGTATATTAATCGCACGACGAAGCACACAGACATCGACAAGACGGCGTTTTCTTTGCTTTTTGGTAGATGAAAATATAACGATAGAAAAAAAAATTTTTTTTTTAAATTGAAAAAAAAAATTACCACTTCAAAAAATTTTGCAATGCTTTTAAAAAATGAAAATTTTTATAAATATGTCGGAGATAGGTGGATCACATAGGACAACTCATTGTCAGATCCATCATCGGACATGTACGCACAAAATAAAAGTTATCACGTAGCGTTGTAGTTTACTTGTTCGATTAAAATCAATAATAACGAAAATAACTATTAACCACACTGATGTAATTGAATGGAAACGTAGCAAGTTGGATACAGAAAGATGACCGTTCGCACCGCCGTCCCTTTTCTAAGTGGCGTGCCCGAGCACGTCCAGAACACACCCCCGTGTCCGATTTCAATTGACTTCCACAACTCATAACCGTCAAGTCCGCTCTCTCACTTCCTGTATTGACCTTACTCAAGCGCACTACTTGACGTTTCCGAGAGTTACGAATAGATGGTGTTGTAATCAAATTATAACGCCACATCTTGATCCTGCGACAAATATAATACATAGTTACAAGAAAGTTTTTAAATCTTAAAAGCGGAAAATTATTTTTCTCTGCAAGCCGTAATTTTGAAATAACAGTTCATTGACGTTCCTATTCTTATTTGAAACGCAATATATGCATGTACATTGTACGAAACAAGTGTTAAAGAAGTTATTTGTAAATTTTGTTGGTATATTTTTGCATAATATGAGTTTTTTGTATATATTGAGAAGATGCACTAATATTAATAATAGATTGTAGATAGAAGTTCTACCAAAAGACATCAAATTGTCCACAGAAATCTATAGAAATCTATTTTACTTCTTAACCATTAATTCAATGGATAGAATTATAGATAGTTGTTGAGTGCAACATAAAGATTTTAAACGCTTTTTAAATAAAATAAATATTTAAAAATCATTCGAATATAAATGTTTTTTATATAATGGATAATAGGTACATGGATTTAAACTGGTCGCTTCAAACCGATTACACTGTTTCCCTAGTTGGCAATTTAAATAAAAAAATGTGTAACAATAGTTTGTCACATATATATGTGATTTTTTTAACAGTGTTGATACCGTTCTCAACAACACTAGCGGCAATATTTTTTTTAATTTTTATCTGGTGCAAATTTTTTTGTGATGAGCACTAATATATGACCTTTGAATTTATGAGCAAATGGGTAGGGTTTTCGACGATTTAAAACTAATGTAGTAACTCAGCGTAATAATTTCTCTTCGTCGCCTTCGGACAAGATTTATTAACGAACCTACATTTCATAACGGCAATAAATATATAATCATTAGTTATTTTACAAATTTTGTGAGAAATTAAAAAGTCGCAATTTATTAGCAGATAGTTCAATATAAGGTAGTGTGATATAAAAGAGAGTAAAATTTTTGATTTAATTAAGTAATATGTACTATGCAATCTAAGTAACATGTACGTACTTGTTAACATCGTTTGTACGTCGTGTGACCTAAATTGTTTTTTTATCCGATCATACAATTTGAGAAATGGACTCCTCGCTAATAAAAATCGACTTCTTCAACTCAACTCGATAACGGCGAACAATTAAACGGAACGACTTACGACGATTTAAACCTTTAAAACTTGACTTAATTTAAAAGTTCTGATAGAACTTGGCCGTTGGCAACAGAATTTGTAATCGAAGGCCGTGAAAGATTTGGACGGAGTGTCTGAAAAATGTCTGTGAAAGACTGATAGAGGAAAGCGGGTGAAAGAAAGAGGAGGCGTTGGCAATAGAAGGATTATCATATCTATTTTATCATAGTTTTGTTTCTGATTCAAAAATATTCGAAGCGAACAACAAACTTACAAATACTTTACAGCCGCAAATCTGAACGTAAAGATATATTTTAATTTAAAATTAAATTAAAAATTAAAAGCTATGATATACAAACCTTTTTTAACAACCATGAATTATGTATTTTTTAAGAATTTATTAAATGAAGGTAAAACATATCCATTGACTGTACATAATATGCATTTCTTACCAATTTTTGATATGTTCTTTTGAAATACAAATTGATGATAATTTTAAATGTAAGATAATTTTGTGTTTGTTTTTTTAAAGGCCTGTGATGTAATTATAAACCATCCATATAACATAATAACTTACGCCCACAGAATTTCAAAAGATGTGAACATTAAATAGAGTTGATGTTCTTATCATTAAAATTATAATTATGATCCTAAAACAAATAAATTGATCGCTTGCTTTCGGCACTATTTCCATGCGAGATTTTGTAAACCACAGATTTTCAATATTAACCAATGAAATATTTTTTTTATTATAATCGTTATTGTTACATGTATTAATAAGTGATAAAACGCATTTTTTTTTAACTTTTAGCATATTTTTTGTTCGTATATTTTTCGATCTTGAAATAGTTCTGTGCGATCTAGATCTGGCGCTAACCAAGATTATATCGTGCTATACTAAGATTATATCGTAAAGATTACTTATTCTCCAAGAATCCTTGATTTTCTTTTTTAATTTCTTAACAAAAATAATATCCTTGAATTTTTTTGAATGCTTTTAGTTGACAATTTAAATCGCTTC